TCCCTGCAGCTGCTGTAGTCTCCAATCTCCTTGCTGCAGTTGTTGAAGCACTCGATGCTGCTGTGGTGGCTGCTGAGCAGGCCCCTGGCCCAATAAAATTTCAGAGCCATTTCCAGGTCTTGGTGCTCCTAAAATAGGTTTCAAAAAACCTGTATTAACATACTAACAACTTCAATAAAAATGCCTGGATTTCAAAACATTATTTCAGTAATCATTTAACCACAGCATTTATATCCTTATTTTAGAAAAGATACATTTCAATATTCATATTGTCTAAAGACTGATGTACTGTAATTTCAAGCATCCAACAAACTTAATTTGATCTATCTTAGAAACACTTCGTGTTTCACACTTCATCTCACCATGAATACACTAGTGATGTCAGTTTGTACTACATTTCTCGACTGTATCATATATTATGAGTATGAATCTTTACACACGATTCTTAGTCTAGAATGCCATTTACTACTTACTAAAATGTTTATCTTTTCAAGTTAAGCTTAAATTTCTCCTCTCCTTTATCGAACACTTCCACTCAGTTTATTACCTTTCATTCTGCCTTTTTACATTTTAATAGCTTAAATGGTCATTTACTAACCAGGGAACCTAAGGCGTAAGTTAATTATTTATCTGTTAGAGCCCTAAAGAAACTTTTATATAACAAGTGCTCAAAAAATACCTATTGTAGTGAATCTACTAACACTGTCTCCTAAATGGATATTTATTTATTAGCTCCATAAATTTTACCCAAGGAAAATTCTAAGAATACATTTTTTAAATTAACAAAAAGATATACACAGCATCAAAATAAGATGAAATGAAACACTGTATTTTCTACATTCTTTTCCAATGACTTACCCTAATTTAAATGCAACTGTTCAATCCTATGGGAAATAAGGATTGGAAGAGGTACAAGGCAGGAGAAAAGGGTCTTTTTCACAAATGTTAATATCCTTACATCTTCTCAGGCATAAGTAAAAAACCTTTATAAAACATAGCTTTATAGTTATTTCTAATCTTCTAATTATAGGAAAACAAATATTTAGTTTAATTATTCTTGAAAATATTTATAAAAGGGAGAAAATGGTAATGACAATTCTCCCACACAGCCACATTTTAAGTATATTTCATTCCAGTTTGAAAAGTATTAAAAAGAAAGGTTCCTTAGCTCTACATTCACCTTTTGGAGGCTTTATGTCTATCTGGAAAGCACTTGTGGCTGGAGCCCAACAACAAGCCAAAAATCATCATGTAGTAACTTATGCGGCCTATTCCTCACCTCTAAACTGTCTTTTCTTCAATGTCAGGCTGAAAGGAGGACTTGGTCCTCAAGCCAAGACCACAGAGCACCAGAGAACACCTAACTAAACATCACAATGACAACCTTTCATGGAAGTATGTTTTCATATACATCATTAAATCGTCAAGCTATTATTCCCCATTTTGCAAATGATGAAACTAAGGCTCAGAAAAATGGATTCACCAATAAATCAAGTAAACTAAGATACAACAAGGAAGGAAGACAGTATCTGAATACACGTTAAGCTTGATCTAATATATAATCCTTGTTTCGAGACAAAGATCATCCAAGCCTCTGTGGTACAGTTGGTAGCATACTGAACTCCAGTGCTAGACACCACAGGCCAAGTATGGGTTCAGATCTCCAGCCTGGCAGAACCTGAAACTAAACCAGGCCAGATGGGTGAGTGCACGTTAACCTGAGTTCCTGATGAGCTGGAGAGCTCAAGGGAAGGACAACAGCATGACAATACTCTCTTGAGGGTGTCCTCCATTCTCTCACACAGACATGCAAAAGCTATCATGCATAAAAACAAAAACTTAAAAAAGAAATAGATGGGTCTAGCAGATGGCGTAATGGTTACGTAGCTGAACTCCCACATGGCCGACCACAGTTCGAGTACTGTACCTGGTGGCCTCAAACTCATGCTAGGCCTTGTGTACATGTGTGCCCAAAATCCTAAGAGAAGAATGAGGAGAAAGGATTACAGCATGGCCATGCCCCTGGGGGTGATTTCTCATTTTCTGTCTGTCTCTCTGTCTCTCTGGTAAAGTGCATGCACCCTATAAGCGAAAAATCTCTTCAAAAAAAAGGAAGGACAAAGATCACATCTTCTCTCTAAAATCTGATCACAAAAACTCAAAAGCAATAGTTAATTTATTACAAAAGGCAAAAATCTTCTCTTCCACTCCTTTCATACTCTCCATAAATTATGGATTCTCTGAATGAGGGCAAGTCTGTACATCAACCATCTATTCATCCTAGTGACTTCCAGATAGGTTTCATTATACATCTCTTGATTTAATTAATGATTAAATAAATCCAGGCCACCATCTTGGCTACAGAGCAGTAAAATTAACCACAAAATAATAACTCAAAAATAATTTCCACTGAGACCATATAGCCACGTTGCTGGACTCCCACATGGCTGACCACGGTTCATGTTCCAGACTCAGTGGCTTGAAACTCACACGAGGTGTGTGTGCATGCATGCCCAAGATCTCAAAGGAAAATAGAGGTGAAGGGAATCCAGTGTGGCCATCCTTCTGAGGGGGTAATTTCTTACTTTCCCTCTCACTGTCTCTCTCTCTCTCTCTCTATGACAAGTACATACATCCTAAGGCAAAAAAAAAAACCTCTTAATAATAACAATAATAATTTCCCTTGAAAACTTGGTAATAACAGCCCCCTTTAAAAACTTAATATGTTAGAGGGGAACCAGCAGTTAGCGTAATGGCTATGTCGCTGGATTCCCACGTAGTCGACCGCGGTTCGTGTCCCGGACCCGGTGGCTTAAAACTCACGCCGGGCGCATGTGCGTGCGTGCCCAAGATCCCAAGAGGAGAATGGAGGAGAAGGGATTGCGGCGTGACCATCCCCCCTGGGGGGTGATTTCTCGCTTTCTGTCCCTCTGTCTCTGTCTGTCTGGTGAGCGTACGCGCCCTACAGTGAAAATCTCTCCAAAAAAAAAAAAAACTTAATCTGTTAAAGAACAAAATCACATTGGGATTTTTTGTTCTTTTTTTAAAGAAATAACAATATAAGTACAATGTATCAAAATCTGTAGCATTCAAGGAAACTTCCTTAAACCTTAAAATGTATATACAAAACAAAGATGACTGAAAAAAAGTGAACTAGTGAAAAGAAACTCCTTTTTCTTTTTTTATTTTAATTTTACCACAGAGGGACAGAGAGAGAGAGAGAAAATGAGAAGAAAACAAACTCCTTTGAGTGGAAGGAAAAAATTAATAATAACAAAGGAATAAATTAATGGGATAATAAAAAAAGAAACAGTAACAACAGAGTTTATCGGTAAAACTAAAAGCTGGTTACTGCTCCATTAAAAAGACCAATAAAGGAACCAGCAGCTGGCGAAATGGTTATGCCACTGGACTCCCATGTAGTCGACCATGGTTCAAGCCCCAGACCCGGTGGCTTAAACTCACACCGGGTGCGTGTATGTGCGTGCCCAAGATCCCAAGAGGAGAATGAAGGAGAAGGGATTGAGGCATGGCCATTCCCCCGGGGGGTGATTTTTCACTTTCTGTCTCTCTGTCTCTTTCTGGGGAACACACATGCCCTATAGCAAAAACCTCTCCAAAAAAAAAAAACAATAAAAAAGATGAAGTCCAAGGCAAGTCTCATCAAGAAAATACAGTGAATGGGGACCAGCAGTTGGCGTAATGGCTGTAGTCAACTGCAGTTCAAGTCCCAGACCCAGTGGCTTAAACTCATACCAGACGTGTGTGAGTGCATGCCCAAGATCCCGAGAGGAGAATGGAGGAGAAGGGATTGTGGCGTGGCCATGCCCCCTGGAGGGGGTGATTTCTCGCTTTCTCTCTGTCTCTCTCTGTCTTCCTGGCAAGCACATGCACGCTATAACAAAAACCTCTTTAAAAAGAAAGAAAGAAAATACAGTGAAGATACAAATAAACATAAAGACTAAGGGAAACAGCATACTATAAACATAAGGTAATTAAAAGAATTATTTGAACAAATGTTATCCACGATTTTACACAAATAATTTTGAAATTCTAAATAAAACAGGCAATCTTAAATATAAGTTACAAACTCAAAAGGCAAAAAAATCTAAATAAATCAGTGAAAATTAAATGAACATGTGTGATTGAGATTCTGCAACTAAAAAAGGTAACAACCCGGGACCAGCAGTTAGCATAATGGCTATGTCGCTGGATTCCCACATAGTCAACCGCGGTTCAAGTCCCAGACCCGGTGGCTTAAAACTCACGCCGGGCGCACGTGCGTGCGTGCCCAAGATCCCAGGAGGAGAATGGAGGAGAAGGGATTGTGGCGTGGCCATCCCCCCTGGGGAGTGATTTCTCGCTTTCTGTCTCACTGTCTCTCTCAGTCTGTCTGGCGAGTGCACGCGCCAGTTAAGTTCACTGATAAGCTCTAACACATTTGGAAGAAACAGTTAAATCCTTTTTTCATAAAATGATCCAGAACACAAAGGGAAAGCTCCCAAAATCAGACTATGTATTTACTCCCAAAATAAAAGTAAAGTTTATGTAAGGTTTATCCCATTTCTGCAAAGCTGTTTCAATATCCAGAGATATATTAATATCACAACATATAAAGAGAGAAAAACTATATGGTCTTATCAATAGATAATTTTTTTTTTTTTAAAAAAAAAGGAAGGAAGGAAGCTGTCCTTGCAGAGCAGTAGTTAAGCCCAGTGCATGAGGAACCAGATCCCACATGGCCGACAGCAGTTCCAGTCCTGGCCCTGGTGGCTTCAAAAAGCACCTATGTAGGTGTGTGCACCCAATTCCAACAGGATAAAGAAATGGGGTAGAAGCGATCGTGGTATGATCATACTCAATTGGGAGGTGCCTTGTACCTCTCGCTCTTTCTCTGTGAGCACATGCATGCTCTGACAATTAAAAAATAAAATAAATTACCCAGGCCTAACTTCCTTTTTTAAAGTAAAAGGCTGGTCCTACCCATTCTTTTTTTAAGTAAAAAGCTAGATCCCACATGGCTGACTGCAGTTTAAGTCCAACCCCAGAGGTTTGAAAGACATGCTGGGCATATATGTGTCCAAAATCCTGACGAGATGAAGAAATGGAGAAAAAAAGGATTGCAGTATGACCACGCCCCATTGGAGGAATGCTGTGTGTGTGTGTGTATGTGTGTGTGTGTGTGTGTGTGTCTGTTTCCATGAGAACATGCACACTCTCGTAATTAAACAAAAATGTAAAGTAGATAAGGAAATTTCTTCCATCAGATAAAAACAAGTAAACAGACAAACAAAAAACAGGAATACAGAGATCAAAACAATGAGACCACTCCATGTTTGAACATAGACAAAAATGATAAACACTGTGCAAACCATAGAAATAGCCCAACATGCCCTTATTCTGCCTGATATGAATAATTGTTACTTCTTTTACAAGTGAAGTTTTAGCTCCCATCCTACTTATGATGTAAATACCTAATCATACCATATTTCTACTTCATAATATTGGGTCACCAGGAACGTCATGACTCATTTTTGCATTAAAAAAAACACAGAAAAATACATCATGAATCTCCCAACGACCTAACAGTATCCAATACAGAGGAAAGCCCTCTTCCTTAAGGTCTCACCCAAATTACCTAAAACATGCCCAATCTTTTTTTTTTTTTTGAGAGGTTTCTGCTATAGGGTGCATGCGTTCGCCAGACAGAGAGACATAAAGACAGAAAGCTAGAAATCACCCCCCAGAGGGGATGGTCACGCCGCAATCCCTTCTCCTACATTCTCCTCTGGGATCTTGGGCACGCACGCACATGCGCCCAGCGTGAGTTTTAAGCCATCGGGTTCGGGACGCGAACCGCGGTCGAGGTCGACTACGTGGGAGTCCAGCGACATGGCCATTACGCTAACTGCTGGTTCCCAAACATGCCCAATCTTTAATAAGTCTTTTCAAATACCATCTCATTGAGACGTTCCATAGATCCTCATAGTTGAAAATAACCTAATGTGTTCAACTACAAACATGTTCCTAGTGGTCTTTGGCTGAGGAGCACTGATACAAGATAAGTAAGACTAATACAACAACCTAAAAAAGGCAGGAAAAAAGAGAAACTAACATTGACTGCTTACTATTAGACAAAATTTTCCTAAATACTACACACCTTTTTACTTCTTATATAACAAGAAAAGTAGTTGTTAGTCCCATTTTATAGAAGACAATAGTGAAGTGAAATGGGAATTAAACATGAATGATTTAAAATTCCAATTATGTTCCCTTTTCCACTGGATACTCTTCCAACTGGTATACCTGATTACCACAGAGGTGTGTAGCAATATGCCAGGTAATATAAAAATAAACATTATCTTCCCTAC